TAGGGTTGAGGGTTTGGGGGTTTCGGCTTCCGGGTTTAGGTGTAGGGTTTGGCTGTTGTTCAGGAGCTTCACCGAAGCTACCACAAGAAGGACCCTTAGAGAGAGGTCCTTGTCAAGGGTAATCGTGCCCCCTAATGTAGGGGCCTTAATAATTAGAACGTGGTTTTGGGGTATAATGTACCAATACGAAAAAAAGGAACCCCTAAAATAGTACAGGTGTTATTATTAAGTCTAGGACATTTTCAGGTGCGTAGTTCCTTTTATAGGAGCCTTATAGAAGGTCTATATACCGTATGGAAGCCCTATATACCCTAAAACGGGGTTTTGGGGTATAATGTACCATTACTATAATAAGGAACCCCCAAAATGTATAGCTAACTATTAAGGCCCTAAACCCTGAACCTAAACCCTAAACCGTAAACCCTATTAAACTCTTATAGAATCCCTCATTAAGGCCCCTATAGTACCCCTACTTGGAGGGTCGGGCGACTTAGTAACGGGTTATTTTATAGACTTATAAGTACTATAACCCCAATTAGGGTCCCTTTTAGGGTACTTATAAGTCTACTTATTACCTACTTACCTAAACCCTAAACCCTAAACCCTAAACCCTAAACCCTAAACCCTACTAAGTCTCCCGACCCTCCAAGTACCCCTCCCCTCGCCTCCTAAGGGTGCTTGTGGGTAAAGGTTTAGGGTTTAGGGTTTAGGGCTTGTGGGTTAAGGATTTTGGCTTTCTTCGGCCTAGCTCCAGGGGTTCAGGGCCGAAGTCAATGTAGGGGCCTTAAGACGTAGAATAGGGTTTTGGGGGGGGTTCCTTTAAAGGGTTCTATAGGGGATCTATTATAAGGGTTCAGGGTGTAGGGGCCTTAATAATTAGAACAGGGCTTCAGGGGGTTCCTTTAAAGGGTTCCTTAAAGGGTTCTATAGGGGATCTATTATAAGGGTTTAGGTGTAGGGGCCTTAATAATTAGAATAGGGCTTTGGGGGTTCCTTGTTAGAATTACAGCATATAGTATACCCCAAAAGCCCTATTCTAACTATTAAGGCCGGTGGCTGAAGGTCGGTGTTCAATTAGAGCATTGTCGGGTTAGGGGCCCCATAATGCTGGCTTGGCCCTTAGCAAACCTCGGTAGGCAGGCATACTTGCAGGCTCATGGGTAGTTATAAGTGGGGCTATAAGTCCCCTAATTAGAGTTATAGTTATAGTTACCCTACTTATAACTCCACTTATAACTACCCATGAACCTCCAAGTAGCGACTAGATCGCTCCTACACCTTACAAGGACCCTCTTCTTTCGAGATCCCAAACTCGGAATCCCTACTCCAAGCCCTGTGCTCTAAACCCTAAACCCTAAACCAAAACTCTAAACCCTAAACCCTAGACTCTATACCACAAAACCCTAAACCCTAAACCAAAAGTCTAAACCCTGAACCCTAAACTCTAAACCCTAAACCCTAAAGAAGCCAAGTCCGCATCCTGAGGTCGCTGGAGGGAAGTATAGGGGAGAGTACGATCAGGGGGTTTCCCAAAATAGGGGACCCTAATATAGTACCCCAAATAGTAGGATCCCTATTATAAGGACCCCAAAATAGGTACCCCTAATTTTCTGAAACTCCCATCAGGTTTTGGGGAGCTCTCTCTGCCGGGCTTTTAAAACGCCGCCTTCAGAACCCTGGGGGTTTAGGGTTTAGGGTTTAGGGTAAACCCTAGAGTCGAGGGCTTAGGGTTCGGGGTTTTAGTAGCTGCCGAATTTTCGGCCGAACCCCAAAGGCCCTAAACCCTAAACCCTGTAAACCCTGAACCCTAAGCCCCTAAACTCTAAACCCCTAAAGCCCTAAACCCTAAAACCCTAAACCCTATAAACCCTGAACCCTGAACCCTAAACCGCCTTAACCATCCTGAGAACCTAAACCCAGAGACTCCAATATCCCTTAATTAAGGAATACACCTTAAATCATATTCAGGATCCTACTATAATTTAAGGAAGATTCCTTAATTAAGGGATATTGGAGTCTCTGGGAAGCCCCCGTGGAGCCTGGTCCAGCTTCTCGATGTAGTCTTGCGCAGGTCCCGATTCTCCGAGCATCTTCTGAAAGTTCCAAGACTTGACGAAGACCTCGGGGGCGTTGGTTCCGAAGCTCTTTGCTTAGGGTTCCAGAAAGAAGGGCTCTTTAAAGATATCTACTGGGTTGTAGTTTGGGGGCCCTGAAATGTATTTGTGAATAGGTACCTCTATAGAAACCATAAGGGAAATTTTCAAGTTTCCCAAACTGCCACCTAGTTCAAGATATCTAGAAGGCTTCCACATTTCAAAGCTCTGTACTTGTTTACTTCTTAGGCACGTGTACAACGGTAGCGATTTTGCCGTTCTTGCAGATTCAAGGCCTTGGTGATTCCGGTGCTTAGTAGGTCCTTTATAGTAATCCCTATAACCCATTCCCCCATTCCCTACTAAGCACCAGACAGAATTTCAGGGTCCAAGGCCCTCCCACTTGGAGGTTCATGGGTGGTTATAAATGGTTTTATGCGGCTCCTTTAAGGGTTCCTTGAAAGGGTTCTATAGGGTTTAGGGTTTAGGGTGTAGTTATAAATGGGGTTATAATTACAGCTGCCCGACTTATAACCCCACTTATAACTACCCATGAACCTCCAACCATCCCAAACTTTGGGGCGCTTGTCCCTCAATTGTTGACGTCTTTCGGGGTTTAGGGCAAAGTTTAGGGTTTCGCCAATACAAAACTTCAAGCCCTAACCCGAGACCACAAACTGGAAGTGTCAGGATTTAGGGTTCTGGGTTTGGGCAAGCCCGGAAACTCCTACGGCAACGGATGAACTGATTCCGCGTGGCCGTGTCTGTGGCCTTGAGCGCCGTCACCGTAGCGGTCCTGACAAGGAGTCCAGCAAACCCTTGCGGCTCAGGGTTTAGGGGTTCGTAAATACTCACGGATTCACTCAAAACTGTCTGGTGCTTAGTAGGGCATGGGGGAATGGGTTATACGGATTACTATCAAGGACCTTAAGGACTATCATAGGGATCCATTCCCCCATTCCCTACTAAGCACCAGACAGAAAAACTCAACGGAATACATCAAACTCAATGCATATTCTCTGGTTGAGAAAATCGAGGAATACTACGTTGACGATACAAGGATCCTGATCTTGATTCTGCAGCTCCAATAACCCTTAATCAAGGAATAGACCTTAAATCATATTAGGGATCCTACTATAATTTAAGGTATATTCCTTAATTAAGGGATATTGGAGTCTCTGGGTATCTTCTGATAGTACAACGTATTGGGCTGCATAGATGTATGTTTGTGGGAAGAATAGACAAGGTCCCTGGCACCCTGCTTTCGCATGCATCCCTGCAATCCTTCCACCCGAAATCTATGAGCAACAGCCCTAAATCCCGAATCCCGAAATCAAAGCCCCAGACCCCAAAACTTTAACCCCCCAGGTTTATACCTCTATCATCCTCTGTCCTTAGTTTTATTGGCGATTCATAAGGGTGCGCAAAACTAAAATCTGACCCCCTGCGCTTGGAAGACTCGACGACGGCCACTTGAGAGGCCTCGCGCAACGAACGCCGGCGACGCTGGCACACCAGGGATGTGTCTTCAAGCATTGGAGTGTGGTCGAAGCCCTTCTTGAACGACGAAGCAGTACGGTACCCGTGCTTGCGAAGCAGCCTGGTAAGTGTCTTTGACGTCGAACACATCTGAAACCAAAGCTGCGCTCAGCGCTCAAGACTTGCTCAGGAGTGCTGCGCACTGATCTTCGCTTCTCACTGTGGAGCCTTCCGGTGGCACTGCATGCATGGAAGATCTTGCCCCCGCAGTTGGCTGCACTAGCCCAGCTGGCTTCTGCTAGATAGCAGGGCGCATCCTTGAACAGTAGCCTACATGCGCAATCCTAAACTCTTAACCCCTGAACTGAACACGGAACATCCGATCCCTAAACCCGAAACCCAAAACCCCTGAACCAAAATCATAAGATCTTTCCGGGTCCTGAAAGGAAAGAGGCCCATTAAGGCCAGCTCCCCAATGGCCTCAGGGGACTGTCATGTATAGGCATGTATAGGCTATCGCTTTAGGGTTCAAGGCTCCGGGCGTTCAGGTTCTGTTGTCTTCTTTTCCACAGATGTTGGATGCTTAGTGCTTGAGGTTTGGAGTGTAGGTATCTCGCAATACGGAGTTAGGCTTGTGATTTTATGTTTTACGGCTTTGAGGGGCTTTTGGCTTGAGGGTGTTGGGACTTTGAGCGGTGTGCCAGGCCTGAATGTTCACATTCGCACTTTCTGCGTTGTCTAAACCCTACTTGGAGGGTCGGGGGACTTAGTAAATGGTTATTTTGTAGACTTATAAGTACTATAACCCCGATTAGGGTCCCTTTTAGGGTACATATTACCTACTTACTAAGTCTCCCGACCCTCCAAGTATTGTTTCGGATTTCACGGTTGT